AAAAACGAAACAAAAAACCAAACCCCCCCCAAAACAAAAACATTAAAAAAAAAAAAAAAAAAAAGACACATATTCATCAAGACTCAAACTTGTCCACTTTAGAATCAATTCCTAAGATTTGGAAAAAATAATTAACAAACAAATCTGTCACAAGGTGAAAAGAAACAACATCAATCACTTCACCCCATGCTATTTAACCATACCCAAAGCATCAATTTTTTTTAATAGATGGCTGCAAGAATTTAAAATTACAGTAAATAAACACTGTATCAAACAGTGCTCCCAGTAAAAATTATAAAACATGACACAGTTGGTGATTACCAAGTAGTATTCACAACCACATAAACCTTATAAAAAAAAAAGGTAAATTAAAAAAAAAAAGTCACCGAGAGAGAAAGTGACTAAAACCTTCATAGAGACAAGCACGCAGCATCCTCTCAAGGATCATAAGACAAGTGGGGTCATCATCCACCACAAGCACCCGGAGACCCGCCGGAAACTGGTCGGAGATGGTGTCGCCAGTTTTGACAGAACTCGAAGTGGATCCCTTGCCGTTGCTAAGATTCATGGTTCAGAAGATCCAAACAACAGCAGACACAACTTCACATGGTTGAAACTGGCATCACAAAAAGTGAGAAAAAAAATATGAAAGGCTGAGCAGAGTAGTTTAAGGAGTTCAGGAGAAGAAACAGAGAAAAAGAGTAATGGAATATTTTTTGGCTGCAGATAATATAACATATAAATAAGGGAAATGATTGTGGGTCTGATTCTGAAGCGTTTTTTTTTCTGTTTCTTGTTTTAAGCTGATGCTGGTTTCGTTGCATATTTTATTACTTTTCATTAAATGTTATTAAAATAATAATATTATAATGTTGGTATTGTTTTAATTATTTTTGACATTTTGAATTTTATATTTCAAGGTTGGGGTGTTTGCTCCTGAAAGAGTGGATCCAGCTCATTGGTTGGATATTGGATTAACCAACCCTCCACCTCGGATCTCAAAATCACTTCCAACGCTGTCACAAGGGTCACAAAAGTTCTAAAGTAGTACTAAACTCTAAGAACATGTTCAATGTTCTTGTTTATTTCATTTTCTTTTTTCTCAAATTTTTCTGTTTAAAAATAAATTAATTAAAATTTAAAATGTAAAAAAAAAAAAAAACATAATCGTAATTGTAGCTAGAACATAAAAAGTATAAATTAAGTTATATTTAAAATGATTATTCTATTATTAATAAAAAGATTTTGTTAGTTAATGCATTGAGTTATATAAATTTATTTTGTATGTTTTATGAAATTCATTTAAAAAACTAAAAAATAATAGGATTTAAATGAATTTTATATTTTGATCTATTGGTTTTTTTCTTGTTTATGAAATGTTTTTTATTTTTTATTTTCTAATCAGTCAAAATATTTGAAACTTTTATCTTTTTAAAAAGTTTAGACAATTAGATTGATTAATATAGGGTTTTTTAGTTGATTTTTTGTGCTTTGATGTAATAGTATTTTAGTTAGGACAAATGTTTATTTTATATATTTTAAATTTATTATAAATGAGTATTTTTAATATATAAATCATATAAAAAAATAAATTTTATAATAAATAAACATATTTAAATATATAAATTATATCTTGTAACGACCTGCCTAGCCATTGCACAACAAACACCACCACAAAGAATAGAGTATGCATATAAAAGAGAATATATATATACATAAGTCTAGCCTGGAGCTCAACAAGTCAAAATACAAAACTACAAAAATAGCTACACCAAGTAGCCATGAACAACAAAATCAGTTCCAGTTGCCAGCTGTAGTCCTGCTACTACACTCCATCCTATCCCTGCTCTGCTTCCATACATAGTATGATCATTGCAGTCCAACCCACATGAAAACACGCAAGGGTAAGTTAGTGAAAAGAATCAGCATATAAAGTAATTAATAACAACTTCAACTTAACAGCACATCTACATACAACACATAACAATATACATCTACATCTCAGCTTCACCACACACTGCACACATACAGCTTATGTCATTCAGCAAAATCAATATCTAACAGCTTATGCGTCGTCACGCATTTCAACTCAGAGATCTCCTACAGCAAAGGTGAACAGTTTAAGTGGCTAGGTCCTACCGAACCGACAACAAAGAACCTTTTTGGTTTGCTAGGTAAACAGTAATTTGGATATCAATCCACAACTTCACGATTTCTTAGACTTTGCCACTTAAACAAGGAAGTATGGTACTATGTCAGGATAGAACAGCTGGGTTTTAGGCCTACCACGACATTAACTAGCTTAACTAAGCCACCTATGGAATTAGCCTATCGACTATCCTCCAAATACCACAACCTTCCGATACTCAGTTAGGAACTAAGTTCCCGACTTCGTACTTTATTCGATTGGTCGCTTGTAATCGGTATAACTCGACTTGGTCCCTATACCGTGGTCGCTTTGTACACGTGTGCCTCGACCTTGCCCACACATGGGACCAACTAAGTACTTAGAGGAGAACAACACAATGACCACTCCAAGGGATAGCTTCCCAATGAGGGTTTTTAACAAATTGGACTCTAAGAGCACCACAGCTTCCTCAATCCACACAATGGGATGAGCATCTTCGAAAAACATCTCCTCTAGTCTTAGTGATCAACAGCTCAACATTTCAGCTTACACAGCTCATATTCAACAGCACAACTCAACTATTTAAAACAACATATTCAACATTCAGCACAGCTTAGGATAACGGCATTAATAGCTTAGACAGCATACAACACAGCTCGACTTAACAACAATAATCAGCATGATCATCATACAACACAGCTCAACTTTACATCATCCAGCATAAACATCATACAACATTATCAGAATTATAAAGTCAAACACCTTCGCACCCGGCGTAATAGAATTTGTGCCCGGCCTGAACCAACCAGAGAGCTCTAAAGCTCTTACGTGCCCGGCACAATTCCAATTACGCCTGGCGCAATAGAAGGCAGAGACTCCCAAAAGTCTCCCAAGCCCAGCGTACCAACTCACGCTCGGCGCAAGTAAGGCAGAGATCACCAAGGTCTCACGCCCGACGCGCTCATTCTGCGCCCGGTGCCACCCCTGGCAAAGACCCCCAGGGAGTCTCAACGCCCGACGAGATCTAATCACGCCCGATGCCATACCAGTAACTCTACTCCTTGAGTCCCTATCTGATATCACGCCCAGCACGGTTCTCCCACGCCCGACGTGAGCCATCCAGGGACTTCCATTCCCAAGCTCGCCCAGCGCAACCAACCTTGCGCCCGGCGTGCTTGATCAATGAAACTCTCTGATGGTTACACACCTGACACCAAGAACTACGCCCGACGCAATTTCAAACGACAACCCTCAAACTTCGAAAATTTCACCCAAAACTTACAAAAATCAACCAGCTCAAACACATGCAATCCATCAAATGAACTACATTTTTAGCATACAACTCAAAAATCAACTTCTTTTCAACATGCAACCATCAAACACCTAGAAATCCCAAATTTTTCCGAAATCCCGAAAACGCAATCTCCTCAAATCCGACCAGCATTTTCCAAAAATCAAACAACATTTGAGTTTCTAAACTCACTTCCAAACAATTTGCACGAATCTAGCTTCCCTTACCTCGGAGAAGAAGAATCTGAGCTCCGGGTAAACAAAAAGGAAGAAGAGGATTCGGCTCTCAGCTAGCTCCGCATGGCTTTGTGTTTGTAAGAGATGGACCACCTAGTGCTTTCCGACTCAACCTTAGAGGAAAAGAAATCAGTATAAGGTTAAGAGGCTTGAGAAAATAAGGAAATGAGGGGAGAAGAGAAATGAGAAAAGAGAGAGAGAGGTTGCGGGTCTCACATATCTTAGAAGTATAATAAATTAATAATTTAAATTGTAATATATAGTATAATTTCTTAAAAAGTATATTTTTATTTAATTTATAAATAAAAAAAATAAACTAAAAGAAATAATATATATATATATATATATATATATAT